ACCTCCGCCCGCTCCGTCTCCGCCGCCCGCCACCCGCCACCACGCTAGCGCCTGCTGGCCGACCCGGAACCGTCCGCGCTCAATAAAACCTTCTCCAAAGCGTGTTTGTGCAGTTCTCTGGACCACGGTCGCGTATAACCGCTGTCACGTTAAACAAACAAAAAAATCTTTGACTTCTCTTTTTCTGACTTCAGCGAAAATCCTCCTGCTCCGGGTGTCTTTAGCCCAGTTCCATTCATCCAAGTTGTGACCTTTTTTGCGCCTTCTGGAAGAAACTTTTCTCCCCCCTGCTTTTGATTGATCTTGAGGTAGGGAATTTCAGGTTTGGAGGGATGATAAGCGAACCAGCAGCCCGTTCACTTCAGGTGATGCTGTGGCCAAGGACAGGGGCCCGCGGCCCGGAGGCAGCTCTTCGTCCTCTGTTCTGGGTCAGGTACTCCTCAAGCCGTCGCTGAAACCCCCATTCTTCCGTGAATTCGGTAACGTAGAATGTGGTATATGCTTTTTCCCCCCCAGCTATTAATAAAAAAATACTATGTCCGTACTTTGAAAATATAGCTTCTTACAGCACTAGAGGCCTGGGCACGTTTTATGTTTGAATCAATTTTGAGGAATAGCTATTAGGAAGTTTTGTTGAACTTCAACCTGGATCATGGTCCAGTTTCTATAGGAAAAGTAACAATCACTGAGTGTTGTGAAATGGTTACATTCTTTGCACCCTATAAAGTGAGGAAAGACTATTTCCTCTTGATCAGGTCTAGAGAGTCTGGTCAGGCAAAGCTTGCTATTCCAGGATTCGGGAGAAAATAAGATTGTGTTGAAGTACTCCACCATTCTTGGCCCTCCACTTTTCATACTAAGATAAACTGCTTAAAGAGAATAGGAACAAAACTAAAAAGCACATTATTGAAAAGGAAACATGTTTAACTATTTGGAAATTGTTTAAGCCCTTCCTTTAATCTGTGCCTTTTAGGAGACACCTTAGAAACTGGAAAATGTTAAATTTTTTTTGTGTCACCTTGTTTGAAGGAGGAAACAGGTGATCATTGAAGAGTCAGGGTATAGGCATAATATTTGAACTTTTGTATTTTGCAATAGCTATTAAGTGCATTGGTTAACATGGCTGCAAGTATATTAAATGTATTTTTTTTTATCATGTTAATGTATTTTTTTGTATCCAGTTTTTTTTTTTGTATGCTCCTGTGCATGGAACATACATTTTTTTACCCTAGTTCAGATAAGTCACATAGTACAGTTTGGTTAAAATAGTAATTCAGTACCTTCCTTGAAATCCTCACAGGAGGGCAGGGAAAAAAAAATAAACCTTAACAGATAATCAAGGTGAACTCCTCCCTGGAGGAGGAAGCCACTATTGCCTCTTGTTTGGAGTTCATCGCCCTAAATAAGATTAAACAAACACTTTTTTGGGGGGGGGGTCACAAAACTTATTTTTTAAGTAGGCTGTAAATGTATAACAAAGACTTCATGGATTTGAACAATTTCGCTTGCTTTTAATTCAAGAAAATTAGATTCTAAAATAAGACCAATACTTGGGAGTAAATGAATGGAAAAAGTTAACGCTAGGTTTATTTAATTCAAAATGCCTCTGTGAGCTTGTAGCCCCATTTGGGAGGCTTGAGAAACCTCAGTTCTAATCTTAAGCAGTTTGTGGTCCTGTTGCAGGAAGCCTAGCGTAACTATTCTAAGTTGCATACTTTTCATATTTTTAGGTTCTGAACTGTGTTAACTTTTACAGTGTACCCCTTTAATGCGATGGCTTATCACCCCCCTTCCCCAAATAATTTACGAATCTTGTAATTGAGGAAATATGCTCTGTTAGACAACTCTTAGAGCAGAAATGGAAGTTGAGAGAATGTAGTTTTTCTAGCCTTTTCTCGGATTCCCAGAAGTGTTTTCCTGTTTCTTTTCTGTGGTGCTCTGTAAGCCTGAAGAGCATTCCTAGTCTCTTGTAGAGTATTACACCCCTCTCCCCTACTGTTTTATTTCCTTTGACCCCCTAGCTGGACTCCTTTAAGTGGAGCATACAAGAGTTTTTCAGTTTAAGATGCAGGTACAGTGTGGAGGCTCTCGCAGCATCTCTTATGGAGACCCACATGTTGTAGCAAAGTCATTTGTGAGAGTCCCTATTGGAAGATTTCAGGGCGTAGTAGTATATAGAATGAGTCTTTATTGAATTATACAGTTGTGTATTAATCAGTCACTTAGAAGTTCCGTGCTATCTTTTTCTCAGTTTGCAGTTAGGAGTCTCTGCTTTGTTGCCCTTCTACCCTTTGCGTTTATGAATGTAGATACCAGTTCCTCCCAAGGAGGATTTTATTTGCAGGTGTTTAGCCTGAATTTTATTTTAATCTATGTCATGTCTATTTTCCCCCAACTTTTAATTTAGCACGAAAAATAAGTAAAAGCGTAGTTAAATTCTGAAATTGGACATAGGAAGGTAATGGACGTTGCAGGCCCTTAAAGGTAATGACTAAAGCTATTCGAAAGTATAGTTGCTTAGACCATATTTATATAAGAGTCCAGAATAAAAAAGATTTTGAAAGTATTGTTATACCTATATAACATCAAAAGAGTTTTATTCACTTCTGGAAAACACAGTTTTCAAGGCTATAGTGTGGAAGGACATAGCTACCGAGGAAAGAGCACAGCCCGCAAGTCTCCAGGCAGCCTCAGTTCAGCTTGTGGAAGACCTTTTCTAACTGAAAAAGAGACAAATTGCCTACGAGAGGGCAAGTTCTCTCTTCACTTCCACCCCGTCCTTCTGCAGTGGGATCATTCAGGTAGAAAGAGCAGGGGTCATGCATTTGGAGAGTGAGGTCTGACACTGATTTCTGAAGTCCCTCCTCTCGAGAGTCAAAAAATGGCTGATGTCCTTTGATTTCGCTTCAAAATTAGATTTAAAAGATTGGTATTTAATTTCAGTTAGGTAAAAGACTGAATTGCCAATACATGAATGATAGAGCCACCTACTGTGTAGAGAGGCATAGGAAAAGCTGTGTAAACTATTGATAATTTTTACACTTGGGATGGGTTCAGGAAGAGATTTTGAGGTGAAAAAAAAGATCTATGCAGAGCATTTGTATTCTTTGGTTACTTAGTTTAGGAACACTTTAATTATCTTATTACACTTGCCCAGAGTTGGCATATTTAGAGTTATGAAAGCCTTGGGAGAATGTTTCTTCCTGAAGTCGTCTCTTGCTACTCAGGAATTTTTACATGAGGAATTAAAGGTTTAAATAATAGCTATCTTAATTGCTAAATGAATGCATGTGTGTATAATAAAATAGCATTTATATGTCCTCTTGTATGTATTTTTCTAGTAGGAATAAAAGCAGATAACTACTTTGGAAATCTTAAATTTTTTTTCTCTAAAACTTTACAAGTTAATTTCTGTTTAATATTCCTTTTATTTTTAATTTAATTGAAAAGCAGATTATATTTTAAATTTTAAGATAACTCATCGAAATAGTTTTTTGTCGACAAAGAGTTTTATGATATAATGAGTTTAATTTGCCCCCCCTGAGTTTTATAAGTTTAGAAATCAAGCATAGCGATACTGCAGTTTCTAAAATGTAGAAAGCAGTAGGTTTTCTGATTGTGTAGTGAAGAGTTACTTCTGTTTCTCTTCGCTCAAGCCTTTTTGATTACAAAACCTGAGAAGAGTTTTGTATTTATCCCAGAGTTGTATCCAAGTTAGGAGCTTCTGAAAGTAACAACAACAAAATGTTTGTATTTTAGATACCTTTGGAGGTGCAGGGTGCTAATGAACTGAAGTATGGGACTGGCCGATCCTAGTCATTGTAGCTTGGCTTGCTTGGCAATTTGATGACTAGGGAATGGTGACATTTCTACTCTCAGGTGGCGGCAGACAAAAGTTCAGATGGAACATCTTTGTCCCAGCTGTCAGATGGCTGAGTTAGTCTTAGTCTCATGGGCCCTCCCCGAACAGCTTTGCATGTGTCTTAATAATCACCCTTACTGTTTTGTTGCTTGAAACCAGACAAAATAGTTATCCAGTAATGAAAGACTTGAGCTTTGTGGACAATGTTGTACTTTCATTTGGTATTAAAGTTTTCTTGGGTTACAGCTTATTGCCGCAGCAAGTGATTGAAGAAGGAGTCCTGTTTCTGCCCCTGAGCTACCGCTAAGGTACAAGGAGTGGCTTGGGGGTAAGGAG